ACACACACACACACACACACACACACACACACACACACACACACACAGCGCGCGCACATAGAAGAATTATCTCGAAGGTTTTTCTGATACCGTAACTTTTTTTTTTATTTATTTATTTTTTCTCTCATACATATAATTTGTGGTTGGTATATGTATACTTAGTAATATATGTTTCATTTGCAAGGGTTGGGGCCTGGAGACTTGTAGCACAGCAGGTGTTAAGCCTATAGCAAGCACCAGCTCCTATAAAATACTGTTCTAAAATTACTAACATTGTTTATGCAACTGCCTCCGTGGCCGAATGGTTACCACGCCGGACTGCCACGCAGAGGCCCCAGGTTCGATTCCCAGGCCGGGAGAAATATTTGTATGACCTACATTTATTTCTCTCGTGAGTTTGGGTGTAATTTGTGGTTGTCTATGTGTGTGTCCATGGCACCCGCGACACAGGGTTTCCCTAGTGCGGGGCTATGTTGAGTGTGTGCGTTATTATTATTATTATGTACTTCTTATTTGTTGTTGTATTTTGTGGAGAAATAAAAAATATTATTATTATAATATATTATTATTATTAAAGGGAAATATGATCAAAAGATGGTGTCTCACTCTAAATTTTACAAGAGAAATAAAAGAAAGTGGCTTGCCGAAATAGTCCCGGTGCCTTCAACCGAGGCTTGGATTGAGAGATATCCCGCATATATAGGTAAAGATTTTATAATGCCTCTAAGCAGACTTCACAAAGGTCATTATAAGATCCCTGCACATTTATTTAGGTTAAAGTTAAATACTAACTCATTGTGTACATATTGTTCCCATAATTACTGTGACCGTTCATTTGTTTTTTGACTGCCCACAATTTTCTTTACAACGTCTGTTACTTATTTCTTTAATTCAAGACATTCTCAAATATAAAACAATTCCCAGTACTGTACAGGAGCTTTTAAAGCACACAAGTTTATATAACGTAATATTTGAATTTGTAAATAGCACCTTTAAAATAGTGTAAGTTGTTTATATTTAATTTCTTTTTTAACTTTCATACTGCAGTAGTTAGTTTTGTTTTTTTAATTACATTTAAAACTCTGTAATAATTCATGTTTAGGCTAAGGGCTTTGCCAAAGCCTTAATAAATTTAAAAAAAGTTACTTTGACATTTCTGACAATTAATTCACGCAAATTCAATGTTCGTTCATGTTGTTTTCTTGTAATGTTCCTTCTAGAAGCAAAGCGTATTTTAAGATTAAAATCAATTACTGCCATGTTTATTTAAGAATCAATTTAGCTTGAATGAGTTTAAAATAGATTTAAGAGTTAATATTTTTATAAAATGGCCAACGTGTTCGGGCTGATAGTCTCGGGGCGTCTAGTAAGTGTTTACCAGCGTGTCGATGGAACATTTATTACTAACATTACAAAGTGAAAATCACTACCACAGGACAGGGCGTAGTGATATCTGTAAGAAAACAAAATAACATGCACGTTACTTGTTCAGGTGCAGACGGATTTCACGCCGATGTCGGAAACTCAGTTCTTGACCACGATCCTGGAAGCGGACGCCATCAACCACGTGGTGGTCTTCCTTACCGGCGCGGTGCCGCTGCCAGTCGGTACGGCCGGCATGGTCTACTGGTCGTGGCCAGATCCAGCCGCACCCCCTAACTGGCAGCTCCTTGGACATATCTCTAACTCAAAACCCTCTGCTATATTTAAAATCTCGAACTTGAAAAAGCTACATGAACTGTCAGGTACCTGTTTAAATTTTTATAAAATTTACTTGTGAATGTTTTCTGAAAGTGTTATTTATAACATTCTTGCAATTATTTGCAGGTGAAAACAAGTTTCTGTCTGCATTTGGCCAGCAAAAGATCTGCCACAATGCCCAAATAGGTATATCTATTGAACCTGAATCCAATGTCCAGTTGCTGGCTTCATCTGTGGTGAGTGTTAAAGAATGTTATACACATACTTGTCTTAAAAATAATGTTCTCCCTTGCTATTAAATTAACAAATTTATTTAACAGGCTCAACAAACTGAGGACTACATAACTTTTGCTCAGAAGATGCTGGAAAACCTTGTGAACTTCGTGGCATCATTTACAGTTACACAAGAGCAAATGACACCCACTCCTGGTGTCCTTTACCTCCCCCTCAGCACACTGCAGACGTGGTATCAGAACTTTGAGCGAAGGCTACAGCAAAATCCTAATTTCTGGAGAAACTAATTGCTGCTTAGATTAAGGCTTTTAGTACAATACAGAATTTAAGCGGAAGACTAGGTGCTGAAGCATTGCATTGCTTAGTATATTTAAAATAATTACTGTATAATAGTGACTGCAGATCTCCTCAACAGCAAAAATGCATATTTTTAAAATTTTTTTTTTTTTTTAATAAAACCTTTTGTTACCTTTGTATAGCCAGCAGATTCTGTTGCTATCCTGAGTGCATGTCTCTGTTACCATCTCTAATGGTAATTTGTAAGAGTACAGCAAAGTATCTCTTAAAGATAAGAAACAAACGCAAAAGCAATTTAGCAATAGTACAGAGAAAGGTGAAGCTACTGGAAGAACCCAACTAAACAATGGTTGGCTCTTTCCACAGCAGTAGCTTAAATCCAGTTACAAGATATTCTTATTATGGCAAGTTAAAGAATGAAGTACAATCATAAAGGAAAATACAAAACAAAAACATATATTTTCTAAATGTTTGATTATTATTATTGGACTACATAACAGACACTAGACCGTCCAAATTTGTCATTTCTTGAACTGCTGTCTTTGATTCATTGCCTTTCTTATATTTATCTTTTGTAATTTTATGATCTCTGTGCTTTCTCAGTCAGTAGAATAAAAAGCTGATATTGCTCAACAACACCAGAGAAAACATTGTTCTGAGTAATTAACCTCTGCCTTATTTAGATTCTACCTACCGCCTTTCCTTGGTCAATATTGATAATAATGGTTTGTGGTCACCATTGTGTTTCGTGGTGCACCAGAGGGATCAGAAACGTATAATTTTCAAACTGGATTCATCTTAAGTTTACATAAATAATAATAACTCCCACACTCAACATAGCCCCGCACTAGGGAAACCCTGTGTCGCCGGTGCCATGGACACAGACATAGACAACGACAAATTACACTGAAACTCACGAGAAATAAATGTAAGCCCGACCTGGGAATCGAACCTGGGACCTCTGCGTGGCAGTCTGGCATTGTAACCGTTTGGCCATGGAGGCAGTTGATAAAAAGTTTGTTTTGGTCCACATTAACTGATAAGAGCTAATTTCAATTTAGCCAATCACCAATCATTTCTTTTGAATTGTGGTAGTTGTCTCAGCACTCTTGTGCAGTGAATCCACAGGCGAGAAATGTTTCCTATGGAAACTGCACTTATTATATAATATATATATTATATCACATATATATATAGATATGTATAATATATATATTTGGGTTAGCAAATAACTGCTTACTGATGTACTGCGTATATGTTTGCATTGTATTAATTGAATTAAACTTTTTTAACCTATGCTGCCTTGTTTCTCTCTTGTAAAAATAACATGTTTATCAAAACAATCGTAAAATATTTTAGTTCCACAGAACACTAGGTGTGTTATGGGTGGAGCGGGAGCGCCGCCTCGCGGCGCAGCGCATGCGGGACCGGTGGAAAGAGGGCTTGGCGGATCCCCCCTATGGCGCTCGTACCATAGAGGCGATGCGCCCTGTCCTCGTAGAGTGGGTAAACCGGTCCCACGGGCCACTGTCGTTCCACCTTGTGCAGGTGCTGACCGGGCACGGCTGCTTCGGTCACTACCTGCACAAGGTGGCGAGGAGGGAACCGTCCCCGTCGTGCCACGAGTGCGGCGCTGCGGATGACACCGCGCAGCACACCCTAGAGGTGTGTAGCCGGTGGGATGAGCAGCGCCGCACTCTGACGGGGACTGTAGGGCAGGACCTCTCGCTGCCGAGCGTGGTTGCCGCCATGCTCGAAAGCGAGGAGTCCTGGGAGGCGGTGGCCTCCTTTTGCGCAGAGGTTATGTCGCAAAAGGAGGCCGCGGAGCGGGTGCGCAAGGACGCGGCGGACGCGCACCCGCTCCGGCGCAGACGTACGGGGAGAAGGCGAAGGCAGTTCGCTGCTCGCCTGATCCCCTAGTGAGACCAGCGGGCTCTGGACAGGGACTCCGGAGCCTGCACTGCACGGCCTCACTCGTCTGGGGGGCGGGTCGGAGGACAACCGACTCGCCCCTCCGTTGGCGCGGGAGCCCTGGCGTAAGCTTTTGTTATAACAATATCTATGTTTGTTACGTGATTTTAAAAAGCGATAATTCAATATTGGCCAAAAGCATGTCAGACACGCACTAAATCTATGGACACGCCCATGATAAAGTTCCGTCGCCGTTACATAATGTGACAAATTAGTTTCAACAATATTTTTATCTGGTAATGATCTGGTAGGTATTTTTAACTAAAAATCCATTGACCTCCCAATAAAAATAAAAATAAATATTGGTAGGTCAATGTATAATAATAAATGTAATGTTAAAAAAATCTCACATTTTCAAACCTTGTTAATTCCAATGACTTCTGAAAATGACTGAAAGCGGATACCTCCGAATGGTTAAAGACGGCGCGGTGTCAAGTGTTTTGTAGAATAGGCGAAATCGCCATTTCGAAAAATTTGAAAAAATTTTCGAAATGGCGCTTTCCAAAAAAAAGCAGACAATTCCGCGGTAACAAATTCGCTGATTTTCTGTTGGATATTACTGGTAATATATTAACATTATTAGAAAAAAAGCTAGATAGGTGTATACTCTCTTCACACAGATTTTAAACTTTAGTAGCGCACCCTCGCTTATTATTATTGCTTAATGGTATGTGACGCAATGGTGAAGAAACTGTCACTGATGATTTATTTTATAAAGTGAAATAGGTACGTTAAATGCTCATAATCAACATTACCTTGTTTAAGTTGATTTCGCTGTGATCTAGAAATTGCTTGTTGTCTGGAATCGTATGCTAGGCTATCTATTTTTAGCCAATAAAAATAGAGAGCTTGCATCGTGCCTTTACGAGGCATTTTCGCAAGTATCTCATAGGAGCCCATTATGACCAGTACATTTCGTTCTTTCGAATAAAATACCCTTCCGCGAACGGAACGTCGAAAATGATCGATCTTTTTATGCAAGGCTTACAATGGAATCATTAGTTGTAACAGCCTTAATGTTCTAATTCCAATACATCGAGATGTCACAAACGAAGTCTTAGTATGGCATGGACGACATCTAAATTGTATTTTGAACATCCACCCACCCAGACTACTAGTTTTCTTTTTTCTATTACTTTATTATAATAGTAAACTCGATATTTTTGAGGGATTTCGGCTCGTTGAATGTGGAGCTTTAAATAGTTATCCTGTTGGATCCAGTTGCGCTTTAAATAAAAATAAATAAATAAATAAAAATTCATAAGAGCTGGGATAGTAGGGTTAAATTACTAGAAAAATAATGCGACAAGATATTCATCCTAAATTAACTTTTATTTAACAATGAGGTAACAAAGTAATACTCTACCGAACACAATCATAAAGGCACTTGGTAATTAGGAGATCGGCGGCCCCAACTTTGCATTACTTCTGCTGAGACGCGCTTTGCCCGTGCGAAGTGAGGGCAGTAACCGAGGAGCAGGGTGCTAATGCAATTTACCGAAAAAAATATTCCACGAGATTTGCTTTGCTGTTTACTTTTGCTCTATCTGAACTACTGAAAGGCGCAAGAAACTCACTACTATTCTTAAAAATGTCCTGTGGATGTGCACTGTGCACGTGGAAAGGCGCAACGCAGAAAATAAAATGCAAGCTTGTGGTAATGTGCACCGCCAACATCCCAGCCATATTATGTAATTAAGATAGTTTTATCACAGCAAGCGAGGGGCGGATGCCGCTCTAACTTCACTAGTTTTTCCTAATTCTTAAACTAATTTGTACTCATAACTCAACATAAAACTTAGGGTTAGCAGAGATCTTACAGTCAATTACAATTAATTAACAAGGTCATGGCGTCGAATTTCACGCGCTTAGTCTTATAAAGGCAGACAAATTTGCGAATACGAGTACAAGCCGAATACGCACCAGTAAGGTGATCACGGCTTTTAATGCACAAGTCATTGGACTATTATTTGACTCCGGCCGAAGGGATCCGCTGCGAATGTTCTCTCACAGTGCCGGTTCGTGACATCGTACTGTTAGGACGCGTGGCCGTGCGGGTCAGCTGCGGTGCGATGTGCAGACCAGCACGGAACCTCGTGGCTGCGCGGTCACGCGCCGGAGTTCCATTTTGCGTCAGAAATCCGTCAGCGGCATTCAGTATTACACAGAGTGCGCGAGTACGTGTCGCACCGCAGGACGCAAACGACATTATGTCGCCGAGGCAGAGCTACAAACATTTCCGACAGGTCCTGCACGTTTCGTTACGTTGTCGAAACGCGCACGGCCTCGAGATCGTGTCGTCCACCGTCGGCGGAAAGGCACGGCGAGAAGCCGAAGCCGGCCTAGGGCCGCGCCTCGGCCAGGAAGGGGTGCGCGAGCGCCTGCGCGGCCGACGGCCGGCGCCGCGGGTCGGGCTCCAGCAGCCGCGCCGCCAGCGCGAAGGCGCAGTCCGGGAAGCCCGCCACGCCGGCGCCCTCGCGCCACTCCGCCGCCTGCGGACAGAGGCTTTGAGCGCGCGGCGGGGCGGGGGCGGGGCGGCGGTTCGCGCCGGCGCGTACCGGGACGGCCTCGTCCCTGCAGAGGCAGTGCGGGCGCGGCAGGCGGCACAGCGCGCAGGCCTTTGCGCCGGGCGCGGCGGGCGGCGGCGGCCCGCGCAGGCGCGCGCACAGCTTGCGCAGGCACAGGCCGCGGCGCGGGCTCGACGTCACCAGGCGCCGGCCCAGCGCCTCGGCGGCGCGCTGCAGCGGGCCCGTGCCCAGCAGGTCGGCCAGCTCGGCCAGCGCCGCGCAGTCGG